ATATTATATATATCATATAATATTATCTCAACCATAAAAAAACAAACATGTGCAACAACTAAACTCCATATAACACCTTACAAATAACACTACTGTACTGGTAACACATGCATCACAGTCACTAAGCCCGCGCGTAGCGCGGGTTACAGCTAGTACATATTAAAAGTAGAAACAATTAAGAACCTATTTAAGAACCTTTTGAGCCTAATTTTTCAGTAAGCACCATTTATATAAGAACATGTTGAGGCTAACTTGGAAAAATCTATGTTCTTATACGCGGGTTTTTACTGTATATACAATAATGTATTAATGTATCTTAACACAATACAACCTTACTCTTGTGCTGGGGTACATACACAAATGTATCTATATTTTCTACCCAAATCGAGTTTTAGAACATTTATGGAAAACATGACCGGTGGATTTAGCAGATTATGCATAATTTTATATGCATTATTATAATTATAATGCATATTATTATATGCATCATTATTTATGCATCATTATTTGCATCAGGGCCGTATAACGTCTGCATGGAAGATAAGGATCGCCCGTCCCTGGATTTGGAGGAAGGGATAAAAATATGAAATCAACCAGGAAACTCATCTCACACTCATCTCAAACTCATTTCGCGTGATATCAAGAGCATATGTTTTAATTCACTCAGATATATATGTAGGTCTCCCGCTATTGGAAAAGTCAGCACGAGGAACACATAAGAAAGTCGTGTATAAGGATCTTTATACTGAAGGTATGTGCTCTTTAAAGTTAACGAATAATTTCAGCAACATACCAATAAAGACCGTAAACAATTTATATACAAATTACAAATATACAAAGTATATACGATCCTTGATATTATTTTATTCGTTTGATAACGCTATGGATAAAGGCTTGACATACGATTGTAAGTGACATGTAGGTCACATATCGCCATCTAGTGGCTGAATTAAATTTTATTAGTGATACGCCAGCCAAGAGAACTAAGCACCCTAAAAAGCTGGTAATTATTTCCATGCGAAGCTGCTACGACAAATAATTCCTCTTCATTTTTAAGTAAAAATCCATCAAAACATGATTTTATTTGATAGATATTTGTCAAGTACAAACACAGCCAAGTCTTTCGCTATGCTAAGGGGAAAATTTCGCACGACTATGCACTTTATGATTATCAAAAGTCTGGTGAATATGTGCTCTCTAAATTATAAATGCAATTTCAACAATATACTGTTTAATTCGTTTGCGAAATGCTGGACACACAATCGCACTTGCAATGCAGATCACAATATCGGCACATATCGGCCGATTTCATTTTTTAGTGCCGATGTGTAGTGGCTGATGTAAGCCGGAAAACTCACAAACAGCAGCTTATAATATAGATACACGGTCCAGGGGCGTGTACAGGATTTGTACCAGGGGGGGGGGGTCTAACCGTAACACAAATTTGCGAGCACGCAAAGGGGGGGTCTGGGAAAGAAGAATCTTCCGAAAATTTTGAAATTAGACCCCCTCAGATGCGTTTTCTGCGCGAGCGGGGGGGGGGGTCTGGACCCCCTGGACCCCCCCCCCCCTGTACACGCCCCTGGCACCCTGATCATATTTTTCATGGCAAGCTACTGCGACGAGTATGCGCGCTCCATTTTAAAGGTATAATTCCTACAAAATACAATTATAATTGGCAGATACTTGAGCATGCGTGAACACAGACCTGCGCATATAGTGTAGCGGGCAGCCCAGTAGAGCTACTATAATTCACACTGTACTATTCCATATTCGTTTGTATATATAATACCTACATTTATCGATCACTATTCCCAGAAGAATACATTTATCACTCGTGGAATGTCGCCGCGGATTCAGGCGTCGGAACATATTCCACCATTAGCGTGTTTTATCGAGCCGCCCGCACGCGCGGTTATCACAGTCAGAGGATAACGTATATAATATACTCACTGATTAGCCGGTGCGTTTATAGGTTCTTCGTCGACACTTGGGTTAAACCGCCGACACGCGTAGCACGGTGCATGGATGAATCGAAGCAGGGAAACTGTGCGCACGTTATCTACCGTAATTTCTGTTGATGTGCTCCCACCGTAGGAACGCGTGGTTAATCGCCGACGTAAATGTGTCCTCCGTCGGCAGGCACCAAGCCGTCAACGCTTGCATCCGAACTTCGACGTGAGCATATTTGATTGACCGACACGCATTCTATTTCTTCGGCACTCCGCCGACAGTCATTCGTTTACGCACGTTTATCTATCGCGTTATCAGCTACGTTAATTTCCCCGTTTAACCAGCAGCGGGAACATTGAGACTTACGAGATAATACTATTTCTCTATGCACTTACCGATGAATATTTTTGTGTACCGACAATGCAATTAATTTGTATCGTTGCGTATTGCCGACGGCAGAGGACTGGGAACGCGGGCGTCTGCGTCGCGCAACGGTGTATCCTCTTAATCATAAATTATTCGTAATTTTGAACAGCAACGTCATTTTTGTATTAGCGCACTGCATGGCGTGTTATTTTTAGGAGCTCGGCGATAATCAAAATTTTATTATTTGGTCAATGTTGAGAGCAGCTCCTCCTACAGGAAAAGTCGACACGACAAACGCACGATTATTAAAGTGAGAGATTCGGATAGGTATCTTTCATTTCAACTTATTAGCGGAGCTACCGGGCGGGCCGAAAGCCCGCGCGAGCCGAGCACCATACTTAAGAAACCGGCCTATGTATACTCCGTGTAAAGCATATGCCTACCTATATTCATCATAATAAAAGATATACAAATCGTTATTTACACTGATTGAAAGTTTATTAGGGTATTTCGTATATTTTGACATTTCCACAGTTAAACATAAACTTCTACAGCTGCACAAACAATATGTAATATGTTTCTTATATCTCTAGCTGCCTCCGCTCTTTCAGACACACGCACACATGCATGCACGCACGCACGCATACACACATTATGCACCCTCCATCCCATTCATCCCCACTTTCCACTCCATACCCTTGATCGCCTCTTCTCTCCCTGCCACCTCCCTCTACCTCACTCCATGTCCTCTACCCATACCTTTTCTCTATCTCCACCCTTCCATCCACCGCTCTCTTTCCCGCCACCCCCTTCTCTGTGTCTTAGTGTATATCACTGTCATTGACTCGGTATGTATCTCTTTATTTCTGTCTCTACCTCCCTCCTCACTTCTTTCTGTAATTCCCCTTCCCTATCTCTCTATGACGCACTCACTACTCTCTCCGTCCTTCCGCTGTTCCCAATCCCCTTTTTATTCCTTCCTCACTTTCAAAATATCACAAACAAAACACAATTAAATAGCATATACTTATCCCGATTCCATGTCATTTCCCAGCAACACTAGCAGCTTCAAAACATTCAAACACATTAAAACAATTGGTTTAACACCTATATAACACAATCTTTGGAAATCTGGTAACACAATATTTGGACAAGAAGGCCATTTTCACAGTGTAGGCCTACTAAACAAACCGGTATAGCACATCTTATTAAGTGTGACTAGTTCCAATGTTATAATACAAGCAGAGCATGTCTTTTATATTTTAGTGAAAATGTACCATAACATCCTAAATTACGTAAACGTTTCACCACCAGCTCTGTTTTATGAAAAACCGAATAAACTTCACATTCTATGAATTGACCATTTTTACTCCACTGCTTTCAACGCAACATCTTTCCGGACTTGAATGCATACAACTGTAATGGAACAATCGAGGCAGACGGTGATCTTGCAGGGGCAGTGAGTGAACATCTACGTAAACCTATTGCAGTGATACACAATGACCATGAATATACGTCATCACAGATTTTAACAGAAAGACTGTGACCATTTTCACTAGGCGCTATGTAGCGCAATTGAAATCTTTCTCCGGGCGAGCTATAAAATCCCCAGGAAGTCACACAGCAAGGTAAGTGCTCCACTGCAACTAACAGCAATAATAAAAAACCAACTATAAAGATGGACTTTAAAGTTGCAAGTTAACTTGTGCCAATAAATCCATCTCGGAATGTTACCACCAAGTTTTCACTGCTCTCTCCAATAGTTGGCCGTTCGATAACTTAGTTGTTGTTTTTTTAGCTCATACGTCCTCCCATCTTGCATCACATATAAAGATACGTAAGGTAACACAGACCTATGATAATAGAAAACATAACATAACTAAGGAATAATACTTAATATTAAATTAATCAATGTAAATAAAGGTCATCTCATCAGGAGTGAATAATAATACACATTGTATAACATTCGTAAAGATAAGCAAATGAATGGCTAGATCAAAGACAATGAATACAGAATAAAACAAATGATGAAAATTATAAACAAATCACAATGCAACAACTGACTAAGCGAATCAAGTAGGAAATATATATATTATATAAGTAAACTAGAAACGAGCAGTTGTCGCCAACTACATGTATCCCCCGTGATCTAGTATAAATGGAATATCTCTGTAAGGACGTAGAAGGCAGGTAAAGTTAAATAAGTCACAAAGACAGGTTTGTTAGACAACTGGTCTGCCTCAGATGTGTAAGCCAGTTAATTTGGCATGAAGGTGCGTTATGGTAAAGCAAAGACGCCAATCGTTTTTGGTGTGGGCAGAGTCATCGTTGCCCCCGCCCCTCCTCAGTGTTATTTAGGGTACGCATATGCTCGTTCCCTCCCTTTGAAAGCACCCCCATATCTCAGGACTGCTAAAATTTCTGAACCCCCCTTTCGCGGGCTTTTTGCGGGGTTTTCCTGCCTTGGAGACCCCCCTAAATCCGGAACACTGCTCAATGTACCCCCTATCTCAGGTTAGCTCTCATTCCAACCGTAGTGACGTTAGTGTAGCGTGTGGAACTGTTGAACCAGTCTACACTACGTAGTGTAGAGTTCAGTGATCGAGGGGAACTAGGGGGCAATGTTTTTACATTTCAAAATTAAATAATCCTGAACGAGCTTTCAAAACTAGCAGGAATTTCAGGAATTTGATCCCGGGATTTGATAAAGTTTTCTATGATATTCAAGATGAAAGAGAGAGGAAAAACACCCCCTTTTTAAAGAAATCTCCGGGTGAAAAGTCAAATACACCCCCTTTTTTTTACAATTCTTGGGCCGGATTTTGTCGCGCGAAAAATACCCCTTTACCGGAGATTTTGGGAATGCGCATGCGGTCCCTCCGACCTCGGAGTGGGGGGGCCGGGTCGTTGCCATGGTAACAACATTTTTGTGGAAATATTGTAGAACCTGTAACTTGTGCTGTTTTTACCCGATTGTCATGGAATTTGGCACACAGGGCCGATATAACATGTCCTATATATTTTTTACCCGATTGTCATGGAATTTGGCACACAGGGCCGATATAACATGTCCTATATATATATATATGTATATATTGGTCCTGTGTGCCAAATTTCATGACAATCGGGTAAAAACTGCAGAAGTTACAGGTTCTAGAATATTGTTACCATAGCAACGATGACTCCGCCCACACCAAAAACGATTGGCGTCTTCGCTTTACGATAACGCACCTTCATGCGAAATTTGAAGGTGATCCGAGAAGAACTGCAGCCGGTAGAGCGCTCACAAGGAAATCTCTGCGGCGGCGGCGCGACGAGGCCAAATCCATAGTATCCCCCCCAAACTCGTTCGGGCGATACAATAACTTGTTCACTATTTTATTGAAGACGTAATAATGATAGGTTCTCACTAAATAAAACTCAAGTATGTCTCTTAATCAACAAAGTCTTCAGTACCATAATAAACTAACCGAGCCATTGCCCCAAATGTTGTATCTAGTTTCTTGATGTTTATTGGGTCATGTTCTTTGATTGGATCATCTTTGGTCAGATACGGTCTGTGACGGTACAGCAAATGTAATGCATGCCACTTGTGCCAGTCAGTCTTCTGTAGAAAAATCGTATAGATGAGCCCGACTGAAACGCCGAAAACTTCATCCGGAACAGTGTGAGCAATATCAGGATTCTTCCTCAGAATATCATCTGTGGGAACCTGCCCTGCGTTGTAGTACCACTGACTGTCGTCAAACTTGTGATACGAGTCGTAGTACTCGAGGAGAAATGGCGCGTCCTTCGTGCTGATGAGAATCTGATTGCCGATGAGAGCATCCTTAGTCGGCCAGCCCACCGTGAACGTGTAATGCCGAAACTCGTCAAAGGATCGGCAGACGAAGACATCATTGTCGAGGTATATGCCACCTAGCTGCATCAATATCTGCAGTCGCGCGACGTCGGACGCATGCTGCACAACATCTATGGCAATACCAAACACCTGCCTCGGCCGCTCCAAGTACACCACCTCAATGTCGCTGTGGTTACTGATCTCATCCCAGTAACGTCCCTTAGGTGCATTATCACAATGAATATATAACTTCTTTGGTTTGATGTACAATAGTGCTGCTTTGATGCATATCAGCTCGACAAAGGTGATGACTGGATTCCCGAACCGCACAAGATGCACAAGGTTTGGCACTAATGCATCGTCGGTGCCATTACCAAGTGGAATGATAGAGTGGCTGTCACTGATGTGATGTGGATGCCAGAATCCAACCAAGACAACTGAACTGCTCCACAATGTGTACACCGAGTAGCAGAGCAGGGTCCCTGCTATAACCAACACCGATACAAACACCTGCTTCCATACCCTCTTCTTTACGTCTTGCATTGCTAAGATAAAAAAAGAGTGTTTATATTGAATGTTTTGCACATCTTTCTGCCTACACACATCTGGATGACCAACAATCATATAAACACGGTTTACAAGTTCTTATTATGCATAACAGAATACTCCTCAATAATATAATATGTTATATTATGTTATCGCTGTTTATATTATAAACACAAACCTGTCATTTAGTTCCAGTGCTCCAGTGTTGTGATAGTGCTCCAGCAAGTATCACATGTGCTAGAAATGGACTGATGTCTCAGGCATAATGCATCCGCCAACTAACATCCGGCCATGAACCTGTACCAGTAGCAGCTAGATCCTGATATCCCACCTAGCTCCTACGCAAACAAAACGATAGCTCATAAACAGACGCACCTCAGTCTTTATTGCTGATATAGTGATACTAAAAACACATAACATATATACTATAGTAGCATAATCAATAACGCCTGCATAGACTCTTAATGTATAAACCAATCGAAGTACAAAATTTAGTACTGGTAACATTAGAATACAATTAATTATATCCTCAAACTCTTAGCTAAATAAATTGTTTTTCAACTAGTTAAAAGTACAAAAATTCTGTCAAATTCGAATTTGCTAACGCACCAAAATTACTTGCAATATGAGCTATGTATGAATCGCAACTGCATGTTTGCTTATAGCAATTTCACAATACAGAACAAATGAAACCAGAAATGCATGTTCATTTTTTTATTTAAAAAATTGCTAGTGCTATTTACAATGATGTAACGATGAGCACATGAATGAGTCTCTAAAATTTTGCATATGAAAAGAATCCCCAACAAATAGTATTCCTTAAGGTATACAGCGCATAAAATTCAGATTTTTTTTGCACTGACCCAGAGGGCTGGTAACAACCGTTTTTTACCAGCCCTCACCATAATTTACCAGCCCTCGCAAATTTTTTTTTTTTCAAAAATAAAAATAAGGCTGTTGCTTGTCCGAAAAATGTTTTAGCGTGCGGCATTGCATAGTAGCTGTTGAACAGAATTCACGCGGTAATGAAGAATTCACGCAGGATTGCACATAGGCAGCAAGTGGAAAGCACGTTATGCAAATTCAAGCAGTAAAGCAATCAGCTCATAAATACATGGAGAAAAAGTGTAGGAAACAACATTAATATGTAATGAACAAAATATACAATGAATATAGAATGAACAAGAAGATACTGTACAATTTATGGATTTTGCAAAATCATCAAGTTAAACCATCAACAACTCAACATAACCTGATCAAATTAATAACAATAAAACAACAGCAGGAACGAAGCAAGATTACGCAGAACAAAACAAAAGACTTTTTCATATATGTAGGCATAGAGGAATTATCAGAGTATATGCAGTATTATTATACCCATAATGAAGGTACTCATATGCACAGGAAGGTTTGCGTGCAAAAACACGTAGGTTTGTGTACACGAGACAAAAATAAATAAATTATAAATATATAAATTATATAACAAGTGCCGCAGTGCAACAGGGCTCATCTGGTGTCTGGTGTTCTGCTGATAAATTCATTTGTGCATAGCAAGACGTCTTATACATAAGTCTTCTTTATTCTTGTTTGACTTTCGTAGCCAATTGGAACAAATATATCAGCTACACTTTCGCACCCACCTAATCTCTATGCATTGCAGGTTGGCAGGCAAAAATTATGATTAGAAGCGTGCCAGCCATGGGCTGCCCCGTGTTTTTGCCTACCCACACAAGCATTCACTGATTCAGCCTTCAGGGCACGCAACACGCCGTCAGGGCCGCACGCAGGGCCTTCAGTACTGTACGTACGTTAGTACACAAATACAACAAATATTCTTAAATATACTAGACACTTATATCTAAAACACACATGTTATTAACAAACTGAATCTGTCTACTCGTGTTATACCGTCCTTGCCGAGCTGTGAACGGTTGAAAAGTTGAAAACGGCATCAGTGTAATGACTGAATGTGATTCGTTCATATATTTACTCTCGCGCGCGTGTGTGTGTGTGTGTGTGTGTGTGTGTGTGTGTGTGTGTGTGTGTGTGTGTGTGTGTGTGTTGTTGTGTGTGTGTGTCGTCGTGTGTCGGTCGTCGTACGTACCGGGCATAGTGCATGAGAGAGGCATGTGTGGGGCATAGTGCATGAGAGATGTGTGGGGCATAGTGCATGAGAGATGTGTGGGGCATAGTGTATGAGCATGATGTATGTTGGGGCATAGTGCATGAGATATGTTGTGGGCATAGTGCATGAAGAGATGTGTGTGGCATAGTGCATGAGAGATGTGCGGGCATACGTGCATGAGAGATGTGGGGGCATAAGTGCATGAGAGATGTGTGGGGCATAGTGCATGAGAGATGTGTGTGGCATATGCGATGAGGATGTGTGGGCATAGTGCATGAGAGAGGTGGGGCATAGTGCATGAGAGATGTGTGGGCATAGTGCATGAGAGATGTGTTGGCATAGTGCATGAGAGATGTGTGTGGATAGTGCATGAGAGATGTGTGGGCGCATAGTGCATGAGAGATGTGTGGGCATAGTGCATGAGAGATGTGTGGGCATAGCGCATGAGAGATGTGTGTGGCATAGTGCATGAGAGATGTGTGGGGCATAGTGCATGAGAGATGTGTGGGGATAGTGCATGAGATATGTGTGGGGGCCATAGTGCATGAGAATGTGTGGGGCATAGTGCATGAGAGATGTGGGGGCATAGTGCATTAGAGATTGTGTGGGGCATAGTGCATGAGAGATGTGTGGGGCGTGGTGCATGAGAGATACATTGGTTGTGATGCAAAGAGAATTTTAACTGGAGAGAGCTGTGTTTGTACAGTGACTGTATTGTGGTTATTGTGTTCTCAGTAAACTATCATTTTCACTGATTTGTTTATTTATATTATTAGCTCATCTGACAGTACAGATGCAGCTTGTAGAATCGCATGAGCGTGCATCCGCCGGCCGTGCATTCGTTGCGTTAACAGTTGGGCACAAATCTTAACCGCTCGACGTACGGTCACGATATTTGGACGCGAGGGGTAATCCGAAAACGAGTTGGGATGTTGAAGCTGGGTCAAACAGTGTTTCATTAGGAACCGGCCACGGCCGATTGACCGTCTACTCTGCTGTTTCGGCCGGTTAGAATGATTGGCCTCAAGTTATGATATTAAAAAATAAAATAAAAATTTATTATATTTTATTTGGCAATTTAGTTTGCTCTAATTATTCTCCAAAGTGAAAGTGTTTTATGAGCTACTGCTAATAAATCAGTTGAATATATTTGTATGCATCTCC